TGGCTGGTGTCTGTCTGGTGTTTTTGGCTGTTGTCTTTGGATGGTGTCTTTGTCTGGTGTCTTTGGCTGGTGTCTTTGTCTGGTGTCTTTGGCTGGTGTCTTTGGCTGGTGTCTTTGTCTGGTGTTTTTGGCTGGTGTCTTTGGTGTCTTTGGCTGGTGTCTTTGTCTGGTGTCTTTGGCTGGTGTCTTTGGCTGGTGTCTTTGTCTGGTGTTTTTGGCTGGTGTCTCTGGTGTTTTTGGCTGGTGTCTTTGTCTGGTGTCTTTGGCTGGTGTCTGTCTGGTGTTTTTGGCTGTTGTCTTTGGATGGTGTCTTTGTCTGGTGTCTTTGTCTGGTGTCTTTGTCTGGTGTCTGTCTGGTGTTTTTGGCTGTTGTCTTTGGATGGTGTCTTTGTCTGGTGTCTTTGTCTGGTGTCTTTGTCTGGTGTTTTTGGCTGGTGTCTTTGGTGTTTTTGGCTGTTGTCTTTGGCTGGTATCTTTGTCTGGTGTTTTTGGCTGTTGTCTTTGTCTGGTATCTTTGTCTGGTGTTTTTGGCTGTTGTCTTTGTCTGGTATCTTTGTCTGGTGTTTTTGGCTGTTGTCTTTGTCTGGTGTTTTTGGCTGGTGTCTTTGGCTGGTGTCTTTGTCTGGTGTCTTTGGCTGGTGTCTTTGGCTGGTGTCTTTGTCTGGTGTTTTTGGCTGTTGTCTTTGGTGTTTTTGGCTGTTGTCTTTGGCTGGTGTCTTTGGCTGGTGTCTTTGGTGTTTTTGGCTGGTGTCTTTGTCTGGTGTTTTTGGCTGTTGTCTTTGGTGTTTTTGGCTGGTGTCTTTGTCTGGTGTCTTTGGCTGGTGTCTTTGTCTGGTGTTTTTGGCTGTTGTCTTTGGATGGTGTCTTTGTCTGGTGTCTTTGTCTGGTGTCTTTGGTGTTTTTGGCTGTTGTCTTTGGCTGGTGTCTTTGGCTGGTGTCTTTGGTGTTTTTGGCTGGTGTCTTTGTCTGGTGTTTTTGGCTGGTGTCTTTGTCTGGTGTCTTTGGCTGGTGTTTTTGGCTGGTGTCTTTGGTTGGTGTTTTTGGCTGGTGTCTTTGGTGTCTTTGGTTGGTGTTTTTGGCTGTTGTCTTTGGCTGTTGTCTTTGGCTGGTGTCTTTGTCTGGTGTCTTTGTCTGGTGTCTTTGTCTGGTGTTTTTGGCTGTTGTCTTTGGCTGGTGTCTTTGTCTGGTGTCTTTGTCTGGTGTTTTTGACTGTTGTCTTTGGCTGGCGTCTTTGGCTGGCGTCTTTGTCTGGTGTCTTTCTCTGGTGTCTTTGACTGGCCTTGGGGAGATGTGAGGATTCTCCAAGGACTTATTTGAGTCTGAGAAGCTGTGGACACACCTGAGCCATTCCGAGGTGTTTGATATTTCTCCTGCATCTGCTGCTACGCTGTATTTTCCTGACCGCAACTTTACTGCGGTCGACTTCCCTGCATGGTACAGGCATCACGCTGGCAGACAGCAGGGCTCACTGAAGCATTTATTACATTTTTAGGTTACTTCCAAACTTCCACCCTCATCCTTGGTTTTTATTTTTTTGTCATATCGTTCAATATGTTCAGAAGTTCTATGTATCACAGTGTTTCTTACAAGAGAATTTGTCACAAAGGTCCTCGCAGTGATGTGGCAATATTTCCAAAAGGAATTAAAAATCCAAAATGCCGATATCAGAGAACTACTTCAAAGAAAAGTACTTTTTCAAAATAGTGTCTATGAAAAGTAGAAATGCAGTTGCCAAAAGTATATAAAAAGTCATCCTAGGTATGTGATTCAGGTATTATGGGCCGGTAAGTAAGATTCAATGTAAGAGGCTGATAACTGAGTATAACTACATTTATTATGATTGATATTATGAGTTATCACATTAAATATGACAGCATTAATGAAGTAAGCTATGCTGTCACAAGATGAATGCTACATAATAACCCATCAAGACCAAACAGACCTAATCTAGCCCTGATGTTATACATACTGTAACAACACAACTAAACACAGAACATGAAAATAAACATTTCTAACTTTCACGCTGAGCTGCTCTCTAGCCTTAAAGGAATTTCTGTCAACACAAAAATAGTAAAATATGAAGCAAAACTACGTGTTACGCGGTGTCCATCATTACAACGACAGCTGCAATAATAACAACATACTCGTGGCTGCCATGAGTGTGTATAACCTTCGCCTGAACATTTCACTAGAGACTCTCCATTACTCCATCCTTTACTTTGACTTTACTCACACAGTCTAATAAATCTGTGTTGGAGCAAACAGGTCTAACTACCTACAGTAATGGCTAGAATGAATGAGGGAAACACATGCTAGCTGTGTGATCAAAGGCATAGAAACATAGACGCATGAGAGGAGCTATAATTAATACAGCGGGCCAACCTTATCATTAGCCAATGACATGTTTTCAATTGGGGAGTGACAGGTGAGGGAGCACTCTGCAGGCCAATCAGCTTTCGTCTGGAGCCAGTGCCCCTTTGGCCTTGCCCCTACTTGTAGAGTTGATTGCTTTCAATTTATCACGCAAAGTCTAGCTGAGTCATATTAGTAGCACTGGCAAATTCATACATTCACATACATCCTCTCCATGTACCCTTAGTTTGGTCCCTCTTGTGTTTTTAGCCATTTATTTAATATAATACTTGTTAAATATTAACCATATTATTTACATAATGCATACATGTTCATCCATCTTCCATCCATCTTATCCATGTGGGATCATAATGAACCTGGAATCTCTCCCAGAAGCTGCAGGTTTTTGGACTGTGAGAAAGCAGCAGATTACCTCATTGAAACCCACGGAGCAAATACACAGATAACCTGCATTTAAAATAGAGATTCATCATTCCATACAGAACCATCATGTAGCAGAGCTGAACAATCATTGTACTTCTTACTTATTTTTTGCCTTTTCCTTAATCAGCCTTTTACTTTCAATGGCTCTGAAGTCATTTGGAGAAAAATATCTGCTAAGTAAATGAATGTAGATATACAATAAATAAACAAAAACATAATTTATGTGTTTTTCACGGATGATGAATGGGTATGTCGATAGCATACAGTCAGTAACGCTGATGTTATTCATCACTTCCTCTCTGCTGGGCAAAGTCATCCATCAACTAGCCCAGAGAGAATTTTGGGAGACTCACATCTCTGTAAGGACCTTCTGTCCTCTCTCATGTAATCTGGCTAAATTAGCCGTGTTAACAGATGCCCTTGTCCAACAGAGCTCCTATTTAATGCTACAAGCTAGATGACGATTCAGACATGTGCTTGTTGCCTAAAGTCCCTCCTGTGGTTGAAAGTGATGGGCAGGATGAAGCAGGACCCCAGTGCTGCCTGCAAGCCTGCCGGTCAGAGCCGTCGCCTGAATATTACATATTAGCATTAGCTACTCCATGCTATATTCCATATAATCTGTCTTGTACAACTATTACTAGAACTAACACTACAATAAAAACAAGTGAAGCTCATCAATTTAAAGGGTATCAACTGACCCTAGTCATGTTTGCAACATAATTTCCAGGCTGAATCCGCATGTTAGTATGACCATTAATTAATAAGTCCTTTATTTGCTCTAGAACACTGAAACTCTTATTGTCGTCTACCCCATCTTGCTCTCCATGGCTTGGGGGGGGGTCACAGCACAGGGTCAGCCAATGCACCGCAGCCCTGGAGATGGGGGTTAAGGCCCATACTCAAGGGCACAGACATGTGACCCCCCATGCCCAGTTAGTGAGTAACCTTTGGATTTACCCAGAAGACATTTGTTTTTGTTTTTTTTCTATCTGATTCCCTTTTTAAGGATGAGCTGGACTTGATGTTTCATTGAATCACATAATATTAAAGATGAAGGACTGGTGTAGAACGTAACTTTACAGAAACAGACACAGAACAGGTGCAGTAGCAGCACACTGACAGATCTGCCAATGATCTGTGAGTCATGAGCCTGCATGGAGGGGGCGCAGCCAATCAGCTTTCGCTCAGCGCTGGGGGGGAAAGCGTAAGATGCGTCACAGCCGCAAGATACCAATGGGGCCTTTACAGACTCCTATGGGTGTCTGTGGCCTCCTGACGCATGTCTGTAACGGGGTGGGGGGGGGAATTAGGACGATTTCAAGGGCCCCCAAGTGACAGGGGCCCTAAACAATTTGAAACATAATTGGATTGGTCGGGGGTCCAAAATCTCCAGTGGGTCAGGCCTCTAGCAGTGTTTCAGTCTTTACGGTCTTTCATTGCATTATATAGCTTTCGGCTCCCCCATAAATATTGCACACATCATTCACACCTATGGACAATCTAGCGACTGCAAACCTCCTCCGCGAGTTTCTGGATCGTGAGGGGAAACTAGAGAACACCCAATAACATGCGGCGAGCATGCAAGCTCCACGCAGGCAGAGCCAAGGCGGAGACTCAAACCCGGGACCCCGGATGGGGGAGGGGACTGTCCCGAGCACGGCAATTACCATGACAATAAAGTCTACCCACATCATATTTAGCATTTTATTTTGCCCTTGATAAAATATAATAGCTTTTCATATTATAGTTATTAACTTCAGCCAATTCAATGTGCCCTTTTGAAAATGGTATAAATTATAGGAAAATGTAGCAACCAACTGTCCACAGCTATTTCCTTATACATAAAATAATTGTAAGTGTATAAACAGTAATATGGGAATGTTTCCATTAACAAATTAGCCTTGTTAAATTTCCATATTAGCAATTTTGTTAAGGGCAAAGAATGTAATTTTCAGTTTTCTGGCAGTTGGGCTTTGAGGATGAACAAATCCTTGTCTGCATTTATATTACAATTCAGGAACAAATTGATTTGTATTCACCCATTATCTTTTGGCTGTTCTACATTTTTGCCTTCATGGTTTTTGATTCTGTGTACTATTTCAGTTTATAACCGACACAGCAACAAACCCAACCTTATATTTCAACTAGTATCAGTCTATAAATAACAGATTATGGCAGTGGAACCTAACAGATTATGGCAGTGGAACCTAACAGATTATGGCAGTGAAACCTAACAGATTATGGCAGTGGAACCTAACAGATTATGGCAGTGA